ATTATATATTCTAGACCATTTTTGTATATTATTTCCTGTTTCCCCTTGCAGGTGGGGGGCCTTGTGTCGAACACTGAATATTGGTTTCGCATTCGTGGCTGCTCAGCCGTTGGATGTGGAGAGAGTACTGAACCTTTGGCTGCTACAATACCTGCCATTCTTCCACCTGATCAAAAAGCACCTTCCAGTGAATTTTGTAAGAGTATTTTCATTGTACTTTTTGAGACATGAATTTCAGATCATAGATTTAGGGTGTGTCTTACATCTTTAACTCATTTTTGAGATTAATCAACATTGTGCATATGTAATGTCATGCATTGTCATTGATCAGTGAATTCTCATATACTATGTAATCTCACATATTACTGGTTTAAATATGGGTAATATTTATATCCACACCCATAAAGTTAATTTATGACTTTTAGACTGATGTGTCACTCCCTTCAAATTTTACTTTATACTTGCAATCTACATGTAAAGTGACTAATTTTAAACAGTTCAGTTTTTAGATGGCCACATTATTTTGTATATTATAGTTCCAGGCCAGTACAGGTCTTAAGACAGAAGAAACAATATTCAGTTACCAATATGATAAGATTAGTCATATTAAACATTTAGTAAGATACATATTTTTTAAGAGAAGCTAAACCTTGTTTATAAAGGCAACAGTCAGTATGAATTGTAATTTTGATTTTACTTTTTTAATGCTAAGTAGAATTTATTTGGTTTTATATTTGGATAAAGACAACCTAGAAAAATGTTAACTACTCTGTTCTTGTAATTACATGTCAAATTAACAAATAGATTTGACATTATAATTAATTTCGCATTTTGACAGGATGCGACTGAAGTATATCTACAGATAAAACTTTTGTTTCAGATCTCATCCTATGCTTGGTTACGGCATTTTTTCTACTCACAATCATTGGAGTTGCATCTATGTATGCAGTCAAAGTCCGCAACATCTCATCATCTCCGCGGGTTTTGGCTTGCAATGGAAACGGCCACATCAATGGCAAACGCAATACACAGGTTGTCAAAATAGGACAGGCAGATGGACAGGCTGATGGAGATTGCCAAGAGATGGAAGTATACATCCCAATGCTAACACAGATACCCCCAGACTTCAAGTGCACTCCACTGGATACAAAGGTAAATATGACGTTTTAGATCATTTTGTGCTGCAGTGTCATGGTACAGGTGGCTGAATAAGTTTGCAGCCACACTTAAAATTACTGCGATGTGATTTTATCTGGTAACACTAGTGCAGTCGAGTAAAACAATATAAACCCTATTACTAAAGAAGGCTAAACAATCTTTTTCACTCATAGTTTACTATTTGAAATGAAAGGCATGAGAAAGTATATGATGAAAAGGCATTCCCTTTCCTACTTTCCAAATCAAATATTAATGTCCTCACATAGGTTGCAGGCTTACTGTTGCTAAGAGATAAATTCTCCCATGAATTAAAGAAATAATAATAATAAAAAATAATGGTAACAAATAAATTGATAATGAAAATAGTTAACCCGATGGTGACGGGTGAAGAAAACAAAAAAAAAAACTCTACGCTCTGGCGAACCATGGCAACGCGCCAACTTTGAGCTCGGGAGTTCAGTACATCTGGCTGAATTACTGGTTCGCTGAGCTTTGGCGTGCCATCACGGCATACAGCTGCACACCACTTTTTGAGCAGTTTGTTTTCACGCTTAACAGCGAAGGGGTTAAATAAATACAAAGGATGTCCACCATTCATTGCCAAATTATACGTCATTTCACTCTTTCGTAATTAGGACTTTGGAATTTATATATACAGTAAGTCCCCCAACTTAAGAACATAATGGGGACCGAGAGGCTGTTTGTAAGTTGATTTGTTTGTAAGTCGAAAGTCAGGTCTCCATTACCTCTTTTCCCATTGTTTTGAAGTTTTCTTTACATCAAGAATACCTGTAAATAAATCCCAATAAGTACAACATACCTCATACAGTACCAGACTCTTGAACTATATTTGTGCCTGGGAATTTTGAAGTTTGCTAGCATCTTTCAAACAATTTTTTGGACTTTAATACTTAAAAAATTTTGTTTGTATGTATGGAATATTTATAAGTAGAATGTTCTTAAGTAGGGGACTATCTGTACATGTCAACAAGCATATAAGGAAGTAATAAGAACCAAGAAACAAACACTACAATGTGAAACTGAATAAAAATAGAATAAAAATAAGTTTGTGTGTGCTGTAAAGAGAACTACAAAGTACTTGTGCAATACATTTCTATATTCCAGTCATTGTAAGAGGCTGATGCCACGACCCGACTGTTAACCCATTCCATGCCCACTGTGAGATTACTTGTTTGATTGTTTTCACACATAGATGGCTACACTTGTACTAAATCACCAATGAGCCAGTTACGAGTACCGCCTGTCTCGCCCGTTCACCCTTTTCTTTGATTTACGAAATATTTTGCGTTATCTTATTTTGCTGTTACTAATGTTAAAAAACATCATAATAATTATAATGTTTATAATAAAAATAACACCATCGATATTCATGATACTATTGAGAAATACGTTTTTCCCGCCATTTCATATCAGGCACTAATAGGGCCATCTATGGGCAAACATTTCACTAAAAAATATAGAAAATAGGCACAGCACTATCCCCATTTTTTGTTCATTTTCCCCAGCAGCAATGGGTTAAGTGTATGTTCATTTACCTTCCATAATGACAATATATAATAGTGCATCAGCATGCTGTACTGACATTAGATAAAAAGATAATAATATAGTATAAAGTTTCAAAATCACAGCTGCTACTAGGTGGTAAATGGGTCTACAATGTTTGATTTTTCATTGAAATTTTTAATAATATTGAAATATTAAAAAGTAATTCTCAGTCAGTACTTGGCATAGTTTCACAGGAAAATACACAAAAATAAGCATTCTATTAGCAATTTACTGACCTCTTCCAATTCCCAAAAGATAATCCATCTTTCTTTTAAGAAGTTGAATTACCACACAGTGACATGTCTTATCATTGTCTGGTATCATCTTTCTCTTCTTTTCCCATAATATTTGTTTTATTGATCATTTAGGCATTATTAGGGTTGCAGGTACCTGACAGACACAAAAGTAAAGTACTTATCAAACAAGTTTTTATAAGAATTACATTATATATTATTATATATGTTACATGACCACACCATTTTATGATTGACCAAGGGAGAACTAATGAATATATAAGGAATATCTGTTTTCACTCTTCATACGAACAAATAATGTGGTTTGATTAGTAATTAAATTTTGACTATTAATTATTTCACTTATATTTCTATTATCATTTTTTATTTTATTACATATTTTGGGAATATTCATTCACTGTTTAAGGAATATAGCTACTTGAGGGCATTAACCCATTAACGCTGGGTGACGCCGATCGGCGTGCAAACAAACCGCTCGAAAGCTGGCGCGCGACTGTACGCCATGGTGGCGCGCCAAAGCGTCGGGAGACAGTGATTCAGGCTGATGTCCCCTACTCACGCGCTCAAAGTCGGCTTTGTTTGTTAGAGCGTAGAGTTTTTTTCTTGTTTTGTAAACCCGACGCCATTAGGTTAACATTCAGCACCAAGGATTTATTTTTCATTTATTAATTTATTTATTTTTTTTAATACTTTCTCATGCATTTAACACAATGTTGACGGGTATGATGTGTACATACGTGCTATGCCCACTGTCAGTACTGTACTTGTTTGATTGTTTTTACTCTAAGTCACCAATGAGCCAGTTATGAGTACTGCCTGTCTCGCCCGTTTACTCTTTTCTTTGATTTACGAAAATATTTTACGTTATCTTATCTTGCTGTTACTAATGTTAAAAGACATTATAATAATTATAGTGTATAATAAAAACAACAACATCAATATTCGTAGCACTAGTAAAAAATTCCCGCCAGTTCAAATCATGTAAGGTCACAAGGTCAACTAATTGACTCCTTTGTGGCTAAGAACTAGCAGATCCATCTATGGGCAGACATTTCACAAAAGTATACAAAATAGGAGCAGCATTTTCCCCATTTTTTGTTCATTTTCTTCGGCGGTATTGGGTTAACTTTATATGAGTGACAAAAGCCCTTTTTTTTTTCTTCTTCTTCTTCTTCTTTTGTGATAATAATAGCACCACAGTCCTACCAGATAAAATCCCAGTTCAGTACTTTTAGGGTGGTCATAAACTTATTGGGCCAACTGTACATGCTCTGGAAAACAAACTTGTTTAGTTGTAGTTGAATATTAATAGATAATGAGACTTAGAGTTTTGAAAATCTTTAAATCCTTTTATTTACTCTTTCAGGTTAATTGGTTATTGTTTATGTTCTGTTTGATAAATGTTGGTAATAAGTGTGAGTGAGAATAAATTCCCAAAGGCAAGATGTGCAATGAATGTTAAATTTAATTAAATTCCAGTGAAGATATAAGTATTTATTATACATGTTATTATACATCTTGCTTTTGAGATTTTATCATTCACATCCATGCCATATGTTCACTATATTTTGAATATTCAACCCAGTGCTGCTGGGGATGTACATGCCATGCCTGTTGTGAGTTTAGATTATTGATTGTCTTTACACAAAGATGCCTTCACAAGTACTTAGGCACCTATTACTAATATTACCTGTCTCACCAGCTTACCCTTTTCTCAGTTTTTTTCTTTGATCCTATATTGCTTTTAGTAATGTCAATAACATTATAATAATGACAGTGTCTGTAATAATGATAATGATAACAATATCAATATCGAAAGCATTAGTAAAGAAAAATAATAATAAAAAAAAAAGAAAAAAAATCTCCCGATATCAGTGGGTTAAATAGTTATTGAAAAGAATATTAACCCCTTGTTGGATAGTTTTCTACAAAGGAGTCAATTAGCAGACTTTGTGACCTTAGCTGATTTCACCTTTCCTTGAATTGGCTGGAAAAATATATTTTTTACTAGTGCTATGAATATCAATAGTGTTATTTTTATTATACATGTTATTATACATCTTGCTTTTGAGATTTTATCATTCACATCCAGGCCATATGTTCACTATATTTTGAATATTCAACCCAGTGCTGCTGGGGATGTACATGCCATGCCTGTTGTGAGTTTAGATTATTGATTGTCTTTACACAAAGATGCCTTCACAAGTACTTAGGCACCTATTACTAATATTACCTGTCTCACCAGCTTACCCTTTTCTCAGTTTTTTTTCTTTGATCCTATATTGCTGTTAGTAATGTCAATAACATTATAATAATGACAGTGTCTGTAATAATGATAATGATAACAATATCAATATCGAAAGCATTAGTAAAGAAAAATAATAATAAAAAAAAAGAAAAAAAATCTCCCGATATCAGTGGGTTAAATAGTTATTGAAAAGAATATTAACCCCTTGTGGATAGTTTCTAGGTATTCACACAACATCCGCAGATAGGATATTTTTATAAATACTATTTTTAACCTAATGCCGTTGAGGAAAATTAATAAAAAATGGGGAAGATGCTGTGCTCATTTTTTATATTTTTTGTGAAATGTCTGCACATAGATGGCTCTGCTAGTGCTTAGCCACAAAGGAGTCAATTAGCAGACTTTGTGACCTTAGCTGATTTCACCTTTCCTTGAATTGGCTGGAAAAATATATTTTTTACTAGTGCTATGAATATCAATAGTGTTATTTTTATTATAAACATTATAATACTATAAAGTTGTAAACATTAGTAACAGCAAAATAAAATATTGTAAAATATCACTGAAAAGGGTAAATGGGCTAGACAGGCAGTACTCATAATTGGCTCATTGATGACTTAGTACAAGTGTAACCATCTATGTGTAAAAACTATCAAACAAGTAAACTCACAGTGAGCATGGCATACATATACAAGTCATGCCCGTCAGCATTGGGTTAAGAAAACATGGTCTTGTAATATTATTGGTAGTGGTAAAGAAAAGCTGAAAATGTATCTGTTTGTCATTGATTGACATTGTTTAGTCTTAGGTCTGTGTGGATGCTGGTGGCTGTGAGATGCATGGTGAGGGTGTTACCTACATGCACATAATACTATGGGCCCTATCTGGAGGGGGTTAAACTGATCAGTGTAAACTCAATGATAATTCCAATTTACAAAAAGATGTAACATGTAAAGTTTGGATTACACTCTTTTGCCTAATTTGTTTGTCATTTCGTGAAGCTTTGATGTACAAATACCTCTTCTTTTTAGAAATACTGTTTATCAGGATTAATTAATTTTTAAAATATTAGGTAAGTATTAAAAAGAGAAGAGTTTTATATAATGGGTCTAACACAGCTATGCTGTTAACAGGGAGGATATCCAGAGACTCGTATGAATGGAATGAATAACCCAAGGTGCAATGGTTTCGTTGTCAGAAACCGAGATCACCTGCAAGCAGTTCCTCATGCAGAGACGAAGGTAAATCCACGTTAAGTTTGCTTTAGTCGTAAATTGGTACAAAAAGATTTCTCATTCCCATGTTTAGGAACACCAGCCTAACCAAGGCAATTTTCTTGTCTGCAGGGTTTGTCGTCAGAGGAGAGCGAACGGCTGGTGATAGGTGCCAGCAGCAGCAATGGTGCCATGAGCATGAGTGTCCTCCCCCAAGTTTATCAAAATCATAGCCAAGAGCAGAGGGAAGCTGAACAAGGTGGCAGTGAGCCAAATCATTCTCAAAGTGGTACATTACCTCCATCTCCACGACACGAACACAACCATAGTGGAGCCTCACAAACTGGGCTTGCCAATCTCACTAACCTCACTACTCTAAGTACCACGGAAAGTGATGTGGAGATGGAACCGGAGAAAATGATGGCTGATAGTGTTGGCTCCCAGGATGCCAGCACTCCATACCAACACAATTCCCATCATAATACGAGTGCAACAAAAACATCATCCCCGCAACCCCCACTCACAACAGTGCAGTAGCTACGTAGGTGCCTGGGTATAGTGCCCAGCTACCCACCCTCGCAGGCCCCTATCACGGAGAGTCTCCTCTGGTCTGATGCGGGTATTGATACGTATACAAGGCCTGGCCCAGCTGCTGCGATGGTATGTGGCAAATTTGGCCCATCCAGCCCACAGTGGAATTGATGCGTGTGCCTTGCTCCAAGTGTACAAATGTCAGTGTGGGTACTTGAGACCATCATATGAGCGGGGCTGGGTCTGGCACCACACTGTAGCCACTAACAGCTAGTTGTTAGTTGGTGTGTACATTGTTGCGATCATGGATATGGCTCTCAGTCACACAGTATGGGCTCAGTGTTCCCTGACAAACAAGTCGCGGTACAATTATTTAACCGAGGCTGAGTGAAAGGAGTACAAATTATCATTTTTCCTGTCATTTTTTATCTGTAAATTGTGACTTGAGAGCTGTGTCCAGGGTGCTCCCTCATTTCTCTGATGACAAGGTATCAGGGATTATCCTGGCAAATAACGGCATACCTGCCCCTCCCCCCCGCAACCATACAGCCCCAAAGATCCCTCTCACGTCTTCACCACCTCAGCGTCTCGCCATATTTGTATCAGGGATGGTAATCTCTTCTCACCTCTTTTGATAGGACTGTAATACACCTTTGATTCTGACATGTTTGATTGGTCTGCTGTTTTATATAACATACAGTAGTACAAGAGTAATGGGTTAATACTCCTTTACATGTAAATCAATTTTAGGCAGCAGTCACATTATAACATTTATGTGTTTTTTGTTAGTTTTTTGTTTCTTGTTTCTTACTGTTAATCATTGCAGTCTGAAATCAGGGAGATTCATACCAAGAGCATCTACTAAGTGCAGAAAATGGGAAGATGATTACTTGGTGACACCAAGTCTAAAAACAAAAATTAAGAAAAAAAACAAGAAGAGAATAGGGGTTTATTAGACTCAGAGACAGATATTTAAAATCATAATGTTTTAGATATTGTATCTCTTGTGTCTGTTTCCTCCTAACAAGCAACAGGTGTCAGGTCATTAAGCGGTGAACATCATGTAATCATCCTCTCTCTCTTATGTACCACAAGATCACATGCAGTGCTTATAACATAGCAAAGCTAGCTGAACAACAATTTACCATGTTATCAGCCCTTTCAATGTGGGTGAAGGATTGAATACATGCCTAACTTCAATTGATGATTTACTTGTTTAAGATTTATGTAGCAGAAATAGTTTCTCATAGACACTATAATTCTCAAAAGAGTGCTATGCTCATTTAATAAATTACTGTGATATAATATGTAGTGAATAACATGTAGTTGCTAACTGAAATTGATAGCATAACATTATGTTTATAATTTGCTTGACACAAATTTGAAACAGTTTGCATCAAAATTTTGGCAACGAGTCCTGAGGAAGTTTTCATGGTCCTTCACCCACATATCCATATTGCATTCCATACAGACTTCTGGTAAGTGGTGCTGTACTACTTCTCTAAATTGCTACCGTTTAGTCACCTTGTGCCACTCCAATTCATTCACAGACATCATCTCACTCCATCTGCACATCATGTTCTCCAGCTGCATGATGAAGTTCATGCAGTATTCAAGGCATAGATTGCGAAAAACAGGTACATACTGACTGATTAGCGGCAATTTTAAGTAGTACTTGTATCATCCGCCTCTCAGTGCAGAGCCCGGGCTAACCTCTTATCCAAATACATCACCACAACATCTTCACAGCCCTGCTTATATAATGTAATGTTGCTCCTAGAAATCTATGGTTTGTACAGCAAATTTAATATAAATGATTTTTAGAATTATATATATGTATATGTGTGTGTGTATGTATATACAAAATCTGTGTGTGTGTGTGTGTGTGTGTGTGTGTGTGTGTGTGTGTGTGTGTGTGTGTGTGTGTGTGTGTGTGTGTGTGTGTGTGTGTGTGTGTGTGTGTGTGTACGTATATTGACATATACATATACATACTCATGCACACATGCAGTATACATACACATACTCATGCACACATGCAGTATACATACACAAGCACACATATACACATACATTTAAACACATTACACACTTACACATTTGTACACATAAACACACTTACACATTTGTACACATAAACACACTTACACACATAAATAGAGACATTTATGAAGACACACACACACACACACACACACACACACACACACACACACACACACACACACACACACACACACACACACACACACACACACACACACACACACACACATTTATATATATGAAAATATGTATGAATATATATATATACTGTACACTTATAGGAATATATACAGATACATGCAGACATACCTATATATATACCAACCTAAACACACACCCACAGACACACAAACATGCAAATTAACTAATTAACACACCATTGAATTATAATTCACATGTATTTCAGTAGATGTTCATAAATGTGCAGTTATCACTGATACTTTTCCAGAAATACTACTTTATATACATTTACACATGTATGTATATTCATACATATACATTAATGCTGTTTACCAAGAACTACGTGAAAACGTATACATGTTAAACAGCTATCTGTACTGATTTGCCTTATTAGAAAATTGTTCAAACATTCAGGGCAAAAGGTGTATGCTTGTAACATACATAGGTGTGGTGCCATTGGCAAATGTTGGAACCTTCCTGCTGAAGTCCTATGCAGGGGTTCAGCCTGGTTGCTCTCCTGTGTGCGTGACGTAGCTGTCTGAGATGGGAGTTTCATACATAAGACTTGTTTTAATATTTAGTACAAATCATATTCCATTTACTAACTATATACACTGGTTAACTCAATCCCAAGTAGGACTACTGAAACAATCTCAGTGCTTTTCTCAATCTGCGGTTGTACAGATTGTAATAAGTCAACCATGCAGCACTCTGAGTAGTCAGACCACTGCTCTCAGCATTTCTAGAATTCCCTCATGGTTTTGTATCAAAACTTGACACTAAGAAAGGGATGTGGTGAATCAACTGGCTGATGAGCAGGAGATTGGCTGTGCAGAGTGATGCGAACCCCCTTCCTCCCAAGTAAGAAACATAGCTCAGGCTTTTACCTCAGTTACTGTGTGGAGCTCCAGTTAATGACAGCGTGCGGAGATACCCGATATACGTATTTGTTGCCCACTGAAGAATATTGTCTTTATTATTATGAACTTATGTTTATCTCACTGCTAAGTTAGTTTTGTTAGCAGAAAGGGTGCCAACATTAGCGGCTCAGGTGAGGGATACTTTGCACTCTACAGCCAGCCACCCCTGCTTGACGGCCTACTAGAACTAGTACTCACACTACACTGCTGAAAGGGAAACTGTCATTAGAAAATTATATGTGCTTTTAATATACTCTCTTTCTATGTTACACACACAGTCACTCACACTCATATATACACCATAAACAAGACTTTTTTGTGATTGGTTAGCAGAAATACACACACTTTATTCATGATCAAGATGGAACCCTTGAGACTGTAAAATCAATTACTTTAGCATTAGGAAAAAATTACCAAAAAATTAAATCAAATGAAATCTATGTGAAAGTAATTGGAAAATAAATTCTTAACATCTCTTTATATGTGTGTGTGTGTGTGTGTGTGTGTGTGTGTGTGTGTGTGTGTGTGTGTGTGTGTGTGTGTGTGTGTGTGTGTGTGAGTGAGAGAGAGAGAGAGAGAGAGAGAGAGAGAGAGAGAGAGAGAGAGAGAGAGAGAGAGAGAGAGAGAGAGAGAGAGAGAAAATGAGTGAGTGAGTGAGTTTGGCTGACTGTTTGGGATTGTATAAATGAATGCATCTGTAAGTGGCAAGTCTGTATATATATGTATGTGCATGTTTATACAGCCTTGGTCTTGTGTACATACATAAACATATGTAACCCTGCATATATATGTGAGAGAGACAGACAGACAGACAGACAGTGAATGAGTGCATTAATTTACATTTTTATATGTGTATGTTTTATATTGATAAATAACACACTCCTCTCTAATAAGCAAACATATATCTTGAAAGAGTAGTTTTTAAAATTATGATTCTTATCCTGTGTGTGGAGTTTGTGACTACAGCTCCAGTGGGCCAGGTGTGGCTGGATGCATAGTGCAAGGGAAGAGCCCTGCTTCATGCACATGTTTTCTACCTCATAGAGGGCGCAGGTCAGGTGGGGCAGGGACCTGCTGTTTACTCTCCACTCTGCGAGGTCAGGTGGGCAGGCTCTATGGGTTTGTTTCTCAGGGAGCTCAATGTACAAACACTACACACCATAGTGTCTGCCCACTCGGCCCCTTACCCCACCCAACCCTCCACCTCACCCCTAATTCCCGACCCCAATCCCCCACCATCACTCACTGCACACATCCCTACATGCCATAGTCTCCAAGCAGTTCCTGTCACTACCTCCAGACAGCTCATGTGCACGTACATCCCACCCAGCCACCTTGAATATAACTTTTTTTTTTTTTTTTTTTTTTTCTTTCTTTTTTTTTCTTTGTTTTTTGTTTGTTTTTTTCTTTACTTTTCTTTTTTCTTTGTTTTTTTCTTTTTTTGGTTACATTTCTTATCTGTGCTCTTCTGTATTTTTGTATGCAGCCCCTCATAGAATTCCTTTGTAAATGATAGTTATGAATTATGTTGTTTCCATACTCTTTGTGTATCCAATGAATTTTTATTTTCCTAATATCATGCTACCTCATTCTTTTGTATGATGAGTGAACATTTAGCATTGCATCTCCCCGTGCTGCATGTGTATGATAGCTCAAGATAATAGATAAAACTGCTCCTCTGCCACTCCCTCGTCCTCAGCCAAGAGCGCATTAACACAGCTACTTCATGATAACCAGTCATTATTTCGTCAATAGGATGTATCTTGTATATCATGTTTATTATGCACCCATTACAAGCTGGATGGCACTGCAGGCTGCCCTTAGCTGTTTCTACCCTCCCCTCTGTAAAAGTTTGCCAATTGCCACTCAGACAAGAAGTAGTTTTTTCATAGCTAGGGCAGCCTCCCATGCCTTTGATAGGGTAAGGACACAAATTAATGAATTTCTAAGAAAATTTCACTCCTATTATTGTAAAGGATTGAAGTTTCTTAAAAGATTCTGAATGTTTGCAAATTACTCTAGCCACTTGGGGGTTTGGATCCCTTATCCTACAATGCCCCATCATTTATTGTAGTTTTAAGATATCGTACAAGTTAACATGTACACAGGGTTGGAATACATTTTGTACAATAATTTAATGTATTGAGAAATGTCTTGTGCTCATTTCTATTTGTAAATATTGTAGTGACACTACTTACCATGTACAAGGTAGTGGAAGTTATTGGCTTAGGTAGAAGTGAGCTAAAGTTAAGCCTGTTATTTGCATACTACTGGTTGATTACAGTGTGGCTAGAGCACAAAAAGGTGACATTTTCCATCACCATCTTAATAAGGGAAAATTCCCTGACATGTGCGCCATGGTCAGCCATTTATACAACTCTAGGTAACATCTCAGTGTGGTTAGTTTTCACATTTGTAATTGAGTGGAAATGAGCCATGAGAACCCACTAAAACATGGAAAATTGGTTGAGCAAGTCGCAAACGTCAGGGGGATGAAGAAGCAGCCCAGTCTGCAAATCATCTCAAGATGGAACCAGCAAACCCGGCACTAAACACCAGACCCGGTAATGAAAAAAAAAAGAAATATATGAAAAAATAAAGACGAAGGAAAACCTGGAACAATACTCCTCTGCCTGGGGTATCTCACACATGAGATACTTCCTGCCAACATCTATTTGTTTATCACAATGTACAAATCTATTCGGAGGTGCTACAGTCAAGTGCTCAGTAGGTAGGCCTATTTCAGGTAGCCTAGTCTGTCCTCCACCTGGTCCACCTCCATTGGTTATTGGTTCTCCATTTATTTATTTGATTTACATTTTTGGTTTATTTTTTCATGGTCCACACCTCATTCTAAATTAAGTGTTGGGGCATGTGATAAGCAAAGTTGTTTGTCTGATCCTTCATTTTCTAAACTGGTCCCAAATCTTATTAATTGTGATCACATGATTCAACACATTATTCCATCAGTTATTATACTTACTTTTTTCTGGATGATCATGTGCATTCAGTTTCCATTGACTGGATTGTGGTTTGATCCTTTCTGATGTCAATTTGTTTCACTTTGTTATATGAATTTCCACTTGGTCACTGGGTTCACCATTTGTTCTTCGGTCTGCCACCGTTTTTCATTGCCTAGCCACTTACACGATGCAATATAGTTGCCATCGAGTCATATAATGACATCTTATTCTTCAGGATACACTATTTAGCTTCTCTAATGGTCCTGCCTAAGTTTCATTGCTATGGCAATAAACAGAAATTTTGCATACTATGATTCAATAGTGACCAAAACCTTTTTGTGAATCAAGTAAAGCCACTGTGTCAATTTATTTTGTTTTTTCCTTCATCTATTATTAGAAGGCTGACAAAAAAAGAGAAAAATATCAGTGAATGCTTGTTGAACCCAATGCAACTTGGCCAATCTGTCCTTCAACTTTTGAAATGAGCACACTGGGAATAAGCTATTGTAACTTTTGTGTGGTATAGTAGCTTATCAATGTAATCTGTCTTGTGGTGTGAGAATCTGTGGACCTTATATGCAAGCTCTTCAACATGTAGTGTCATGTGAGCTTTAAACCCACTGCTGGCCTTCTCGACCACAGTTGATACTGAATAGTAGCTGAACATCATGTATTCCAGGAATTTTGAGAAGTCACTTATATAGAAACATGGAGATCTTTGCCTTCTGATTATTCCTGAAATTTGTGATTTTCACGGAACTTTGTTTATCAGGCCCACTCCTGAAGCTAAAGATTCAAACACCAAAGGTAAATATTTTAAGAGATCTGATGTTATGTGTACGGCACTGTGTGTTTGTTACAAGGTTAACGGTTATGAGGCTAAAGGAATGTAATCTGAAGCTTTTTTTCTCATTCTTTTGTAAGATATGTAATGTAATTTTAATTGGCATTCTGTGAAAAATATTGAACAAAATCTGTGATCTTGTGATAAACAGGTGTCTGTCTGAAACTTCTGTATAATATTTAACCGCATAGCTCAGGTTGTCAGTGTTGTGGTTTTCATCAACATGTTTTGCTGAATGGTACCATCAGTCACTACTTAGAAAGAGGATTATGAGAGGGTTCATCAGGAACAACAACTGACTAGAATTTTAATTGCTCACCTAGACAAACTTGTCAGTAGTGACTAGGGTAATGAAAGACGGGTGGGGCAGGAGAATGTGCTAGTCACCAGTGGAAGATGATAGTCTCTGAATGTCAAGGCAAGTCTAATGACACCTTTGTAATGAACCGTATTCATGTTGACAAATGTAGAAAAGTTGTAAATGAGAATGAATCTCTTCACAATACAAGTGATATATTTCACTGGTTTCGAATATGTATATATCATGTATTTCTGACAAAGACATATTTGAAACTGGTTAAACACATCTCTTGTATTGTTCATATATTAATTCTCATTCATACCTTTTTTACACCTTTGTAAGTTTGTCCATTGGCACTTCCTGTCCCTACATATTGTTGAGTTCACCAGTTTGGGGGATTTAGCATCAGGCTTATATCTCAGTTGCTGACCTACATGATGAGCCTAATTTGACTTCCACAAAACTGTTGAATAACCCTAGATTTAACAGATCAGTTTTCCATAAAGAGTGCAGGGGACAAATTGCAGCAGATAATTTTAATTGTAAACCTTACCCTACCTCGTAGGTGATGTCTTGACTTGCGACCTCAGTAAACACATTTTTTGTAATTTATTTATTTTATTTCTGTCATTTGTGTGAGTGTGGGCACGAAATGGAATCTATTAGTGATGGCAATAATGAAAGGTGAATGATGTATGAAGCAGTATGTGTAGCCGTGGATAATCTGTTATTGTATCCCATGTGCATGCAAGCATGATTAAAGATCATAAGCTGA